TGATAGTTAAGAGATATATGTAGGTATAGATATCAACAATTATGGATGCTGACAAGCCTTAAGATATGCAGATGGCAAGCTGGAGACCTAGGTGTTGTAGAAGTTCTAATTTGGTACAGTTCTAGGCCAAAGATCAGCATGCTTAAGACCCAGGAAGATCCAATGTTTCAGGAAAATAGTGGCAAAAAAAAAAAAAAAGTGATGTACTAGCTCAAGGAAGTCAAGGAGGAAATGGCAGCCTTTTTGTCTTATTCAGGCTTTCAACTGAGTAGACAAGGCCTACCCATAGCAGTGAGAAAAAAATCTACTTTCTGGGTCTATCAATTCAAACGTCAATCCCATCCAGAAACATGTTGGACCAAATGTCTCGGCATCCTGTGGTCCACTCAAGTTGACTCATAAAATTAGCCATCGTGTGCCTTACAAGCACACTGAATGCTCTCTGTCACATTTGATATAAAGATTGGCCTATTTTGTACCAACAGTTGAATGTGACTGTTTACATGCCTCTTCCTTATACTTCCTTGTCTCTGATCTGCCAGTACTTTGCCTAGGCTCCTGATCATAGACTACTACTCAGGAATCTGCATATATTTTTATCTATGGTCACTTCACACAAAGTGGTTGACCAGCTGTACCACTCACAATTTGCTTATTGGGAAGATTTTCTCTGGCCACCCTTGTTTATTTTTTTTTCTTTTTATTGAGTTTATTGGTACAATCTAGGTATACAATACAACTATATTCATCATTGGAATTCTGTACCTTTACATAATAGGTCTTGATTCTCATTTTTTCCCCTTATCCCTGCCCGCCCTTTGCCCCTCCTCCCCTCCCCATTTACAAACACTTTATTTCCATTTTTTCAGTTTCTCATATTTTTTTCCTCTCCCTTATTGCTTTTCACCCACACTTCCCACTTTCCTTACACCTTTAGCCCTTTACTTCCTATTTCACATTATTAATTATCTCATTAGGATCCTGTGTACTATTATAGTTTTTCACACCAAAGAAACTATTTGGTATTTCAGTTAAAGAAATCTCTGTATGAACATTAAAAATAGGGAATCCTAAAATAAAACTAAAAAGGAAAGTAAAAGAGAAAAGGCAATGATGTAACATTAAAATAATCCTTAATTCTGGAGATGAAAATGGTCCCTGAACATATTTAAATTGCTTCTCGCTCTTATAGTCTTATCTTATTCTTTTTTTTCATTATTTATAGAATACTTTATTAGTTTCTGTAATCAAACCCACGTAGATGTGACCTTACATATTTAGTACATTGTGTTACCCCTGTACACATGGAAAAAAATAAAATAAAATAAATTAACATTTCTAGACCAATATGGTTGTCCATTTCTGTACAATGCCAAGT